TATTTAAAAAGATGGTCAGTTCTCTCATAAAGGGTTTTCAAGTATTTATCCAAAATGCTTAACATTTCAAAGTAATAAGTGTGCACTGGCTGTACCTTTGGACAGATCCATGAAAACAGTATGCAAACTATCTTAATTGCATGTAGTCGAGCATGCATATCTTGAGGATCCAACTGGGAAAAGCATTTCTCACATGACTGAAGTCATTCAGTCCTGCTTACAGAAAGGATAGCAATCTTTGTATCCAAGGTCCACTGGATAAAGATAGCAACTGGAGGGGAGCATATCTCCTTCTTATTACCAAAATGTTGCCAAAACGTTTTTAGGGAGAATGCTGTCTGTGGCAAGGGCAAAGCTCTTCTCAGTGGCAGCCCATAGAGCACAGTGACATAGCAGTAAGTCTAAGGAGATTTGGAAGCGGCAATAGTAGCTGCCATTTTGCCCTCACAACCTCCGTTGAATGATGTTTTGTTATGAGGCAGCATTGTTCCAGGAGCATTCTGGGTTGGAAATTGTGACTGCTGGTTGCAACCCTGCCACAGGCAACAATAATAAATCAATCAATAGGTTAAACTTTAAGAAAAAAGACCGAAAGAAATTGCTGCCCCTTTATGTTAATGAGAACCTGTGTGGTATAGTGATTAAGAGTGTGAGTCTGGGATTTAGGCAATCTGGATTCTAGTCCCCACTCATCCATGGAGCCAACTGGGTGACTTTGGACCAGTCAGAGTCTCAGTCCAACCTACCTCAAAGGGTTGTTGTTGAGGGGATGACTATGAGCAGGAGCAGAAGAATGATGTAAGGCACCTTAAGGTTTTTGTAAGAAAAAAAGTGGCATATCATCTAATAAAATTTAGTATAAATTTTAAATTTAGTATAAATGAATAAAATCTAGTGAAAATCTAATGATTATTTACTTATTTAATTATAATTCTTATAATTATATTTATAAAAATTTAATTGTACTCTCCCAATCATGCCAGTTTCAGGGGCCTCCAATCAACTCCTGCCCCAAAATTCAAGTTGAAATTTTGAAAATTGAATTGTTTTGTTGGTCTTAATTGAAAGCCCAAATTCAAACACTGCACATACAGGCTGGTGCAATGACCTAGTGGATCAGAGCTTTATTTGAAAATGTTGGGCTAAAAATTTAACTTGCACTGAACAGGTGCTTGCCTACTTCACAGCCTCAGGGGCTGCAAAACACAATGAAATCACTGCAAGACCAAAAAATACAGAGAACCGCTCACCATACTCTCCTGGAAGAAAAATTTCTCTTAACCAAACCTAGTTCAACTCCTGTTTGTTTATTGTCAAAGAAAGGGCCCTATTCCATCGGGCTCTCCAGTTTTGAGCATCAGTCATCTATAGATGGACTAATGCAGCTGAAAAATAGGACTTTGACATTGTAACTGAATACCTGGATTCATTGCATGTTAAGTCTTGCTATTTAGTTCAGTTTTACTGTGCAGAAGGGTCTGATGGAAGACTAGTGTTACTAGGAATGACCAGTGCTTTTTTTGTAAAAAAAAGGTGCCAGAACTCACCTCTTGGGGTCAGTCACTCTACACACACATAAACATAATGGTCGCCGCCTGCAGTAAGCACTGAGCGCGCAACCACATGACCGATCCCAAGCTGAGCAGCATGCCGAGCCAAGCAGCGCCCTCACAAACAGCACGGACCAACACGCAGCCCGCAGGCACTATTTTAATGCTTTTTGCTGCCGACCTGCTATGCCCAACAGGGCGATTCACAATCACATGGAAAAATCCGTCAAAAAAAGGTGCCAGAATGCCATTCCGGTGCGTTCTATGACAAAAAAAGCCCTGGGAATGACAAATAAGCATTTGCATGAGTCCTGTGCTTCTAATCATTTAAATTCACATAGCAAAGGCAATTGTACTTCACTTTTTATTTGGGACGTAACATTCTATTCCCTTTCAAATTGGAATTAATTGCCTGCCATGTTTATGGATAGATTATTTTTGTCCTGTTTTCATTATTTCATCGTTAAAACTATATTTGATTCAAATGTTGTATTCAGTCTAAACTAAACAACAGTTGTGAATTGTAAATATCAATTCACATATTAATTCAGAGACTGTGTTCCACTATTTTATAAACCAAGATCTCTCATACCTTCACTGAGCCTTGCTGTTGCCTTGGAGGGCCAGGAACATAAGATGTGAGAAATACATGGCTGGGTGTCCTGACATTTCTGTCTTCAGAGATGTGTGCATGTGAGGATTCTATTCTGAAGCAGAATGATGATATGCTGATGCAGTTGTCCTGATTACCCTGTGGTCTTTTTCTGATAGACAAATCCCACCATCACCAAATCAAGTGTTGACTTGTTCTGTTAGGGAAATTACAACAGGTTTTCCCAGTGAGATAGGGGAAAGCATGGCAGTAATAGGGAAGCAGCAAAAGTTGGAAATTTATCAACACTTGTGGACACTGTTGCTGCTGGAATGCTTGGCTGGCTCTGCTATTAGGCAGAAAGCAGCCATCTCAGGCAGTTGATGTTGGTCGTTAAGAAAGGACAGCAATCATTATTGTTACTCACTGCAGGGATTAGAGAGAGACGTTTATGGGATTTTCTGTCTCAGGTGCCAAATCAGCTTGGCTGTTCTTGCGTATCTTGACTCGGGTATGTGCGCACCATTTGTTGTTCCATCTTGGGCTAGTTTTAGCCAATCTAGGGACTCGCATCGAGTCATGCAGCAGCTTCAAGCAGACATAGCAAGAGTACTTGTGTAATACTACCCATATACAGACATAGACTAGGGATGCATCATGGGGAGGTTTCACTTTGCACTTACACCATAGAAATCTTAGCAATTAAATATTGAACAATGTTTGACTGCAATAATATGGGCTTTATGATAGAATATATAAACTACAAATAGCTTGTTTTAATACAGAATTCAGAATTAGTCAGATTAGTACAATTAGACTTGGACCAGTAACTATTTATTTATTTACTTATTTATATAAAAATACAGAACTACAAAGAGACAGAGTGTAATGGAAGCAGGACATTACTCTTGTCAAATAAATTGCCATCAGGACTACTATCAATTGCTATTATTTCTGACGGCTCTGTGGTATCTCCTGCCTTTGCACAGTATTTGCCGGGGTGGGGATCATGGGCAGATGGCTACTGTTGACTCATGTCCTGCTTGTGAGCTTATTGTGGACCTCCCCTGCCCTATGGGCTGGCTCTCTTCCCCGAGCCGGAGAGGCAGCAGCTTTGCTTCAGAGGCAGAGCCATCACCACCCATGTAGAGTGAAGACCAAGGCGGCAGCATTGCCTCCTTGGTGCCCATTCAGGACTACTGTGACTTGATCACTTAGAAGTGTAGCAGCCAGATTGTTTCCTTGTTTTTATCATACATAATTTTAATTATGTGTCTGGGTAACCTTGGCAAGTAAGAATGTGCCAGCTGACTGTGGTCAAGTAGGGGGAAGTATGGAGCTGGGGAAACAACAAGCCGGCTTGGAGAAGGAGGGACTAGATACCTCACAGCTGTCCCATGCCCCCTGCCACCTTCTGGTTTTTCCCCAGCTGGATGATTGCTGGCAGCTTTACCAGCCTGCCCTTGGGTCTGGTGCTGCTGTTGCTGAATGCCAGCTTGGCCCAGAGTAAGAACTCCCTCGTCTATCTACAGCCCCTTCAGACAATGAAGGAGGTTCTTGGAAAGAGTGTTTGCACTGGGAACAGATTAATTGCCATGTTGCTTCATTTGAATGAAAGTGTCGTGTAGGAGATTCTGCACTGTAGAATTGCTGTTCTCTTTCTGCTTAGTGGTAGTCATGGGATGTAGAATAAATCTTTTTCAACAAGACGTGTCATTTTTACTTGCTAACTGTCAGTTTTTGTCATATAGCTACCTGAAGAACAATGCTAATTATTTTCATGTAAAACATGAAAATGTCTGCTTTCATTTGCTCAGGGATTTTTAGACTTACCACATTTTTTAATCATATTCTCCAGCATTGATTGCAAATCTTTCCATCAGTCTAAAGTTAGCTATAGAAGGTAGTTGGAAAATGAGCAAGGTAAAAACCAGTTCTCCTCCCCACTTTGAGTATTCCACAAAGTGAAATATTGATGATTTTTAAATGGCTTATCACCTGCTCACATGCTCATTTTAGCAAATATCTTTGTGTTTCTTCAGGAACCTGCTTGGTTCTTTCCTACTTGGCAAACTTAGTAATAGTTTTGCAGTGGTTTACAAAGTCAGACAAGAGAGGCAGGATTGTTGGTTTTAAATTGCCCTCAGCTACAGCTCTCCAGACTGTAACTTTTTAATCGCCCTCAGTTAAAAGCAAACAATGCTATTAATGCACTCATTACCTGTGAGTGGTGGTACTTAAATAGCTGAAACTATTAAGTGAAACAAACATTTTAGTGAAAAAGCACTGGGATATTAGACATTTGGTTTGTGATGAACCTTCTCCAATAGATATATTGAGTGGTCTTATGGGAATTGAAATCCGTTGTAACAATGTAATGTCAATTCTGGTAATGTCAGTTCTTAATCTGATAGTATGAGTCAGATGGAAACAATTTGTACTGAAAGGTGTCAATGTTTGTGTCTGTACAGATGACTCTGTACATCTCAAATTTAATTTGTACACTTTGCATTCATTAACCCAGTGGTTACTGTTACTACATAAGAGTTCTGCGGAAAATACTGCATGTAATGAGCATTAATTATTTTGTCAGTTACATGTGAGACTTAATCTTTTAACAAAAATAAAGTTGTATCTTTGCAGAATATTTGGAGAAAATGAGCTCAGACATCCCACAAATGTTAGCTTTTCAAACAAATGATTGTTTTATATTCCATGCACTCTGAATTTCCCAAACAATAGTAATACTTCCCCTTATTACTTTTAGAAAAAGATCTCATCCTTAGATAAATATTCATGTTTCCTGCTCTGTAGGATCCAGTAGACCATGCTTACCAATTCTCATTTATTCTTTACAGGCACCATCCTCACCTTCTTCACCCATAGCTAATGAACCAAAATATGAGAAACGCTGGCTGGACACCTTGTCAGTTCCTCTGTCGCTGGCTCGAATCTCGAGGTACAAAGCTGGAACAAATAAATTAAGGTTTGTAATCTGAAAGAGAAAGAGTTAGGTTACCTAACTTGCACCTGTTCTTTTCTGTGAAGGTACTGGCTATTTGAAAAACCACTAACATGGATAGCATTACTCCATAGTCCCTGTTAATGCAAGAAAGGTGTAGGTTTTTATAAAGGTTTAAGTAGAAAGTATATACTGGATATAATGTGCAACAATAGAATGTAGTAATCATCACCGGAAGCAATTTCTTCTATGGTCCGTGTGTGGAAAGCAAAGCTAGGATGATTGCTTGTAGGCACTGGACAAATATGGCAGGAATGACCAGTGGAAAAATGTTTCTGTTTATGTGTTATGGCCAATATGTTTGTGCCTTTGCTTATATTTCTATTCTGAGCATTCCTGAAAACTCAGGACTGGAAATAATTACAGCCAGATTAAGAGCATGATCCTATAGACATTTTCTCGGAAGTAAATCACACTGCACTCACTGAAATTTATTTCCATGAAAATGTGCTTGGAATTGCACCCTAACACTGTGAAACTTTAAAGCAGGGATGAGGAGGTGACCCACCAGCAAGTAGTGTACTAAGACTCCCATAATCTCCGTACTTTGGCCATGTTGGCTGGGGCTGATGGGTATTGAAATCCAGCAGCATCTGGAGGGTCACATATTCTTCATTGCTCTTATAATGAATGGTAAAGATCCACTCCTACCTGCTTAAACCCCAAATGTTAAACATGAACCAAACAGCAAAATATTCATTTATTTCTCCACGTGTTTATCCTGGACTTAGTTTGAAATGTGAAATTAACTAGGAAGTAGGCAAGTTGACATTTCATCCCTTCTTTCATTTATTGTTTGTATTTTGGAAATGCCCAGTCAGACTGAATTTCCTTCTTATCAAAGACAAATTCCTGAGAGGGTTTAGTTATATCATGCCTGCTGTATTATCTGACATTATCTGGCACTCTCGTCTCAGTAGGGATTCATGTACCTTTGGCTCACTTTCCCCTTCCATTTTTTTCTGCATCTTTTCACCTAGATGGTATAATTTGGCATTTAGGCACACATCTTTATTGCTTCCCATGTCTCCATTTTCAGTTGGTTTTCTGATGATCAATTTGTTCTTTATACAGTTGACTATCAAAATATCAGGTATTATGATGGCCAGGAAGGGAGGGACTCCCGTGTAACACATTTCCCCATGTGCAGCTCCCTTGTTTTTCTCCTCCTCTAGCCTCTCTTACTCCCCCAAGTCTGCTCATGGTGTGGGGGCAGGTTGCAGAGGCAAAATTCATTCCACTGGTGGTTTCCATTAAACTGATGGATAGTCAGCATTGCATCATCATCATCATCATTATTATAACATTTCTATGCCGCCCCTTGCCGAAGCCTCGGGGCGGCTTACTAATCTATATGGGAAGCAGTCATACTTAAATAGGAAAAAGCAGATGGCTGTACATGCTCTAAATACAGCCCTGATTCTGGCAACTTGGAATTTCCATGACTTGGAAGTAGCTTGTACTTTAACCTAATTAATTTGTTCCCCAGAACTCAGTGGAAACCATTGATAACTAAGATAGCTCTCCCTTACATAGCCCCACCTCTTCACCTGCATAGCTCTATTTTGGATTGCTTTCATGGTTGTGCTAAAGTGTGGTACTAAGGGTATGCCATAGAAATGGAACACAGGAATTTATTTAAATTTACACATATGCTTTATGTGTTTATGTAAGCCTTGATGATAATGATGATGTTCTTCAGCTGAAAAGCTTCCAGAGTGGTTCGTGTGAGGGCTTTTCTATGTGAAGTTTTTATCCCATCACTTTACTGAAGGTTCTGCTTCCAGGCTTTTTGTGGGATTAAGAGTGGCTCATTTACACACGTTTCCCCTACCCTTCAGTATTTTCCTTTTCTGCCTTTCTATATATTCCATTACAGAATGAGTAGATAGTACAGTGTTATAGCAGGATTGTGCAAATACACATGCATATGCCAGAGTTTCCTTGTTAGAAAAGCACAAGGAAACATTGGACCTGGAATAGGAAATGTCAGGTACAGCATCCCCATCAGTCATTCGTGTTATTGGTAACCTTGAAAAGAACTGGAGAGGCCATGAAGTAGAATGACATTGTGTTAGTCACATTTTGAAGCATCCATAAACTACCATAAGTGAAGACCCATGAGCTCCAATAAATGCCTCACATAGAAAGTCTAAAGTGTCAAAGCCCTGCCCTCAGGCTTCCAGTCTAAAGGACAGGACGGAAATGGAGAAATGTGTGAGGAGGAAAGAGGAAAACAAGCAAACTTGCCATCAGGTCTTACCGTGACATTGCTGTTTAAATTATCATGTTGGCAGGAGGAAGCTAGTTTCAGCAAAGCTGATGGAGTGTCTAAGCACCACTCTTCTTTCTTGTGGCCTGATGGAATGGCTATGTGGATAGCTTCAGAATGTTAATATGCAAGGACAACCCTTCACTCTCCCTCTTTCATCCCCCTTTCTGACACTCCCTTCTCTTTCTTTGTCCCTCCAGAGGTGTTAAACAATCACTTAATTTTTTTGTGCGAACATTGAACTCAGAATGGGAAATATCAGGTTCAACTTCCCCATCAGCCATTAAGCTTATTGATAACCTTGAGCTGTTGTGAGGATGGTAGGAGGAAAACCTTGGACACCACCCTTCGAGAAAGGGTGAGATAGAAGGTTGAAAAATTACAAATTACACAAAAGCAAAATATAGTACTGACATAGTGCATGTTAGTTGGTGTTCCGTTAGAGATGCAGCCTAAACCACAAATATGCCTTCTACAAAAGCTATACTTCAACCGGTATTCCTACTGGCCAAGGAAGGAGTATGCTGACTACCTAATTAGGTCTACCAACAGCTGCCAAGATAACCTCTGTGGGATAAGACTGGAGGGAGGCTGCACTCGGGAGAATGACCATCTCTTGCTCTACCAGATGAATTCCCACAAGAGCTTTAAAAAAGTACATTTCTGCATCTCACCAGAAATTCAACGGGGCAGCTGCATTGACCACAAAGTGCTCACAAGGAAGAGGAAATAAGAACTAGCTCAGTAGCACATAATTTGCAATAAGTTATCACAAAATACAATATATGCCCACAAACACTAAAATTATGCATTTGAATAATATTGATGATGATAATAATTAAAAGAGAAAAAGCTGAAATAATTGGTGTTACAGTGTGAAATGTTTTATGACATCTTTGATTGTGGAGGGATTTTCAGTCCTTTACCCCTTGGCATAATCTACAATGGTTACTTATTTAACTGTTTATTTGGAATGTATCCATTTCAACTTCTAACCAAATTATCCCTTCCTGCTTTGAGATAGGAAAGACATAGAAACATAGAAACAGAGCGAGTCAGAAGGGGTCTCCTGGGCTATCTAGTCTGACCCCCAGCTCCAACCGGCTTGTTATCTGCATTCTTCAGAGTACTATTGAAAGGAGACGTTTAGGTTGCATTTGTTTAGATTGCATGGTAAACTCAGCATTAGTTTCTATACTACTGCTTTCTCTACAGGAATTGCTTACTTTGTGGAGAACTAGACCTATGAACAAACTTTAACCTTTGGGGAGTAAAAGGCTGATGCAGGGTTTCTAGTTCTTCCCTTTGTTGGAAGTAGCAAATGGACCATATGCTTATTGTCTCAGGAAAAATTTATTATAAACGATGGGGTGTTTTGTTAAGATTCTGTACATTGAAGAAAAAAAAGAGGGATAAACCAAAACCTATCTAATAGAACAGATTATTTCTGAGATATATGGACAATATGTTATTTGTTAATGAGGCATAATGTAGTTAAGAAAATACTTCTTTGGGGTCGTTACAATCTACATTTTTAACATCAGTGTAATCTGAACTAATTCTAACACCAAAGTTATTGCCTGGTATTACTGTCCCTGATGTCCTGCCAAGTCTATTGCTGTATTTCAAAGTAGTTATGTGAAAACCAACCCAGGTTATGTATGCAGGATACACTGCTCAAAAGGCAGCATTTTAAGGACTTCCTGATCAGTGCAAGGTTCTGCATGTGGCATTGGCTGTTACCTGACTATCTAAATTAGAGGTAGAGAAGGGGAACCCGCTGGAGGCCATTTCCTGCCACCAGAAGTGCTTGTGACACTGGAAACCCAGAAATTTTGCTGGGAGACAAGGCACGTAGACAGTGTGTGCTTTGTTACCCAGAAGAATGGGTGAGCCACAGGGGCCATACAGATGGCCTTGGTGGGCATCACGATGCACACCCCTAGTCTGATGGCACCAATGGCAGAACACCTCAATTTAAATGCTTTAAATGGCCGTGAGAATAATGCCTGAGGCTCACGCAAAATAGTCCCAAGCAATGGTGGTGGGTATAGAGCAGGGAGCTGTGATTGTCTACCCATCAAATATTGCATCTGTCACAGTGGAGCACATGCAAAAGTCATGTGTAGAGTTTTGCTGTCTTTCCATTTTATGCAGGAAGAAAATGACCTTGCTGGTCCAGTTGTTTTTCCCACTTGAGAGATGCCTGAGATAGTGAGGATGCCAAAAATAGATCACAGTCTCATTCTAAATAATCTTTTTTCAAATATTCCTGACTGGTTCCAGATTTTTGCACATAACAGAGATTGCTTGTCCTGAGGTTATAAAATATCTGATCCCAGGCGCTACTTCATCTTTGTTGTTCACTTTAACCTTCCTATGAACTATATCATGTCCGTGCTTTTGACACTATTGATTATAACATCTTGCTGAACGTTCCTGACTTGTTTTTTATTATGCTGCTGCAGATGTGTATTATTTCTCAAAAGTCTTTTCAGGGGATGTGAAGATTCCAATGTGGTTTTAACATGAATTAACATGAATTATAATGCATGCAAATACAGTTTTATATCTAAGATATGCAAAACTAAAGAACCCTAAGAACGCCATTTAACATCTCTGATAGAAAAATCTCCCAAGTAAGGAATAAAGAAAGTGTGTGTGTGTGTGTGTGTAACATACACTCACACAC